CCCACGCTCAACCTTGCACATTCAAATTCAGCGTTCCCGCGCTCTTGAGTATCACCTACGGCCTCGCGAAAATTTTGGCGGGTGAACTATTAACTCGGCAATCACGGAAAGATATTCTTCCTTCAAGGTTTCGAATTCAGCTTTCATGCGCTGGTGTGTGAATGGGAATCACGGAAAGATATTCATCCTTCAAGGTTTCGAATTCAACTTTCATACGCTGGTGCATGAAATCGAAATCACGGAAAGATATTCATCCTTCAAGGTTTCGAATTCAGCTTTCATACGCTGGTGCGTGAAATTCTCACGAAAAGATATTCATCCTTCAAGGTTTCGAATTCAGTTTTCATACGCTGGTGCGTGAAATTTTTGTCTGGTCTTCTTTAATGTTTGAACTATTTTTGCATAGACCAAAGTACAAAGCAGTGAAAATCATTAATAGGCAATCGTTTGATGGGCTGAATTGCACAAAACGCATGATCGCACCGGCTATTCTGGTGCGCGTTGCTATTTATTTAATTCTTTTTCTACGTATCACCTTGTGTTTTGAGATATTTTAATTGTTTTTTCTTGTCTAGTACAATCGTCATTGCGGACGTTCCTAAACACTGATCTGCATGGGAGGAATGCCATATCAATCTCTTGCGTTTTTATTCTGTTGAAATTTGCCGAAATTTGTGTTTGAGTAAACGGTATTTACAGGAAAAATCTACCATTTGAATGAGTTTAGTAAGCGCAGTGACTAAAAACCTGGAAGATTGGGGGTAAGTGCGCAGCAGTACCTATCGTCTTGTTTACAGCTGTCGGTAGCTTTGTAGGCGCCCCACTGATGTGCCCCTACAACTACAGACGTTATCTTTTAAGTAATTTGTCGATAATCATAATAGTTATGTACAAACTGTCATTTTAGTGGGACGATTACGGCGAGGTTATACGGCCGGAGGAGTACATGGTATCGGATACTGCAGCGTTGCCGCCGCATCCTGCAGAATCCAAAGATGCTGGTGGTGCTGGCTCAGACTGCGATGAACAAGTTACTCTGTTACAAGAGGAGCGTGAATGGCCATCAAAATGCATTAGCCAAATTGTGAAAATGGAGGTGAGTATGCTTTTTATGCGTTTTTGCTGCGCAGCGCTGTAGCGCTGCCACAGCCAGCAAAAACGCATATTGTCGAGAGGCTGTCTTTGTATATGTATTCGGAAGCGAGTGCATTTTGTCACACACTTTCATCTCAGCAACCAGGAAAGCTGGGAGGCTGAAACTTTGGATATACGTTCCTACCCCGTGTTTCATCCTCCCGTTTCAAGGTGTTCCTTCACATGCGGCTAGACCCCGCGTACGAGCCCCCCAAAAAGTATGTTGGCGGGGAACGATTTCGCGAACCAGGCAACGTAGAAAGCTGAAACTTTGCAGGGATATTCTCTGTGCACGTGCGAGCTAAAGATTTTAAACTCAGCTGTCGAGCACCCCAACCACAGCCTCAAGCAGTGTGTGTGTGCCTGGGCCGATTTTTCATCTCGAGACCTACAAAAGCTACAAAGCTGAGACTTTAGAAACTTAATCTGTACGTGCGTACGGGCCCCTATCCTCAAAATGGACTCCCTTGCCTATGTGGTTTCTCCACATGGACATGTGAAAGTTTCTGTTACTCAAGAACCTGAAATTTTAAGGGGTTGTTTTGTGATAGTTCTGGCGGCCAGTTTTAATTTGTTTAACTAGTTAAACAAATTAAAAAGCATTTGCCGGAAAAACCGGTGCCGGTAGCAACAAATTTGTACGTAGTAGTATGTACGGAAAAGTGAAGTTTTATACAAATTTAACTTGCCCCTCTGCTTTAGAAAAGCTTTTTGGCCCGAATCTTCCGCAACTTATAATTTTAATTCACAACAAGTTAAGAATGAGTGGTAAGTTACATTTGTACACTTGAAAAAGCTGTTGCAGGTTTTGTGCAAAGTTGATTTTATCGATTTCGAAGGGCGTTCTGACGGTGAATCGGTGAAAAAAATTCTTTCACAGATTAAACCCAAACAAATGATCATTGTGCATGGCTCATCGGCAGCCACGCGACATCTAGCACAATACGCACAGCAGCAAAACATCGTACAGGTAATTCACCCGGAATTGCTATCAGCTCTTATTCCAGATCACCTGAGAATGTCATAGATTTTGAGATTGTTACCCCAAAAGAAGGGGCATTTCGGAATTCTCTCGTCATATCGTATCCGTGTAAAAATTCCATGTTTTAAAAAAAAGCGAAATTTTTGACTAAATATATGCTTTGAAAATATTACAATGCAATAATCTTTTTAAAAAATCGGTGATTTTTACATCATTAGCTGAATTTGACGCTCTGTTTTGTGAATTTGGCTTTTACATTCCATCTCGTTCTCGATGTTTCATTGAATCTTGAATTTTCTTTTTTTAAATTCCATCCTCTTCTTTCTGGTACTTCTCCTCCCTTCCCCGCTTCGTTCGGAGGATTCAAGAAAAAAAAAAAAGAAAATCAAGTTCCTTGCATATTTTTTTTTGATCGCTAAAAGTTGAAAACAAAATTAATCTTTGGCATTTTTTCGGTAGCTGTAGTCTGCTGACAAGGATGTCAAAGCCTCTTTTTCTTCGGAAAATTGCAAAGAAAAATTAATGCCCGTTACAAACCCTTTATATACCACCACCAGCCAGATTGCTTTTAGAACGGATAATTCGTAAAAGTTCTGGTTTTTTTCGCTGACCGAATCGACCCG